CGTGTCAAGGGGACAGCCACGACCTGGACCCGAAGCGTCTTCGCTGGCTCGCCCAGCAGCATCTGCAGTGAAGTGGCTTCGTATTTTCTCTGGCGTCAGGAGTGCCTTTTCCCAGCTTGATCCGCCGGGCGTTGACGTTCACTCCTGGAAGGGTGGGTCTCCCCAGTACGTCCTGAACGCTATCGGGGCTATGTAGCGAGGAGTGCTTATCCGGGTCGCCTTCCGAAGGACTAGTCGTCGCGGGTTCGAGCTGGCTATGGGGGCCAAGCAAGGGCGCCCGATGCCTGTTTCGTTTTTGGCCCTGGCACGCGACCCGATCATCGATCATCATAATGCGCGCCAGTGAGTTACCCCGCCCCCTTGCACGAGATTGCCGCCTTCGCCGATGACTGTGGTCTAGCTAGCAGCAGCCTCTCGAAGTCTACTCGATCGCGATCGACATTTGGGTCCTTGCGGGGGCCTTGCTAGGGCCCGGTATCCATGCGAAAACACCGTGGCGTTGCCTGATTGCCCGTTACCCCGGTTGCCCGTTTGTTCGGTTGCCAAGAATTGCTAATTACTTGCGCAGCAAACCATGCTAAGCCAAGCCAACACAAGCAAAGCAAATCAATGCCAAGCAATGCAAAGCAAAGCAACGCAAAGCAACGGACAGTAATGCCAGGCAATGCCAGACAATGCCAGGCAATGTCAGGCAATGCCAAGCAAAGAACGGCAAACCAATGCCAATACAAATAAAACAAAACACATAAAAGCAAAGCCGGGCAACGCCAAGCAATGCCAGGCAATGCCAGGCAATGCCAAGCAACGCAAAGCAATGCAAAGCAGAGCAATGCCAATTCTTAGCAGCGCCAATCAATACCACACGACGCCAAGCAACGTCAAGCAACGCCAAGCAATGCCAAGAAATGCCAGGCAATGCCAAGCAACGCCGAGCATTGCCAAGCAATGCCAGGCAATGCACTGCCAAGCAAAGTACTGCAATTAAAAGCATCCCCAAGGATTGCCATGCAGTTGCAGGCAATCCCAATCAACTCCAAGCAGCGCAATGCAA